CAACCCTCCGAATAACCACCCACCCAACCCTCTTCACATCCGCCTCGAAATCTTTTACTTTACCACTACTACTACTATTCCTATTACTAACACCAATAGTTTAAGGCCTTCCTCTCATGCACGCACACTTACAAAGTGTTGATCAAAAAAATTGTCAAAAGGAATTTCATGTCACCGAGATTGCAAATTTGATTTCAATTATTTAAAATACGGTTCAATTTAATTCTATTGTTTTTAAAAATATATGTTTCATCATATTTTGAAAATATTTATTTATTAATTATTATTATTATTATTATTATAAGAGTTATATATATATATATTTGATTGGCCAATAAATTCATACGGTTTTTGTTAGAATAAAAATAAAATCAAATTGTTCTGTTAAATACGTTTCATCAATTTTAGGAAATATTAATTAATAAATTGTTACTAATATTATTAATTAATTAATTATTATACGACCATCCTACACAGTGTTACAAAATGTTAAAAAAAAATTATCAAACGGAATTTGACACTCGCATTTCATTGCAATTGCAAATTTTATTTAAATAATTAAAAATTGAAGGTAAAATAAAATCTGTCAATATGTTTAATTAAATTTAGGATTAATATTAATTAATTATTATTATTATTATTATAGGGGATATATATTAGATTGGCCAATGAAATTCACATACGATTTTTGTTATAATAAAAATAAAAGATTACAAACAAATTAAATGAAATTGTTTTACCAATATGTTTGATCAAATTTATTAAATATTAATTAATTTTATAATTTACAAATTGTAAAACCTACAAATTTGACGATCCAAAGGCCAAGCTAATATATATAGGGTGGGTTGTTTGTTTTGTTTTGTTTTTTTTTTTTTTAGATAAAATAAGAAAATCAATTTCATTGTTGCATATCCGTGAAGGTTTATTTTACCATCACACTCATTTCACCTAAAGAAAATGATTTATTTCATTTAATTATCTAGTAAAATTATTGTAAAAAATAAACAATGAATAATATTAGTTGGAAATGAATTACATTCGAGAATATATCTTTCATACTTTTTGTGATCATTTTTCCATTCATTTATCGCAAAACATCGAATCAATTTTCATTGGTTTAGCTAATTTGAGTTTTTTTTTTTTTTATTTTTTTTTTATCTTGAAGATTAATTAATAAACTTTTTAGTTTACATCGAAGAGTATAAAATTGTTCTCTCAAACATCTCGTACTTATTTTGTTTAAACAATACAATCTCTCTCTCTCTCTCTCTCTCACTCTCGCATTTTTTGTTTCACGACATCGATAAATGAACTTTTTGAATTATTTTTATTGTTGTATCTCGTTTAAATGAAAAGGAACATTTTTTTTTTTCAATTATGAAACGAACAAATGTAAATTGTTTACTGTTTTTTTGTTCTTCTATACAGTTGGTAATAAAAAAAAAACAAAAAACAAAAAACATATTTGCACTTCTCATTTTTATTGCAATTTTATCCTTGTTCCATTTTTACCACAAGAATATTTTGTTTCTATTCGACTAAAAGAAAAATCATTTAATTTATTTTCATATGAGAAAAAATGTTATTCCAAAATTCTGCTGACTTTTAAAATTGCAATTTTTGCAAATTCCAATCATTTTTTTTTTTTCTATACGCATAACGAAAAAATTGCTGATCAATCAGATAAGCCAACATTCTAGAAATCATTTAGCACAATTTGAACAATTTTTATTCGACGAAAATTATAATTCGACTATTCGAATTGTTTATTAAACAATTTCTCGTTGGTTTCGTTGAAAAAAATATTTTTCAATGTCTTCAACATCGTTTATTTTCTATTATACTTATTTTTTTTATTCGACATTTAATCGCCTAATTGAAAAATTTCAATTGTACTTTCCAACATTTTGAGGTTAACTTACAATTAGGTCTTTGCCATACAAAAAAAAAAATACGAACAACTGTTTTTAACTCTTACAAAAATTGATATTTCGAATATTTTTTTGAAAATACGATTAATTACAATTGTTCGTAACGATTAATTAATTATTTGTTAATTATAATTAATACAAATAACCTCAACAAAAAAAAATGTATGCTACAATTATTTGAAAAAAAAAAAACAAATTATTTTCTTACACATTTGAGATTAAAAATATTTTGAAAAACATTAATAACAATAACATTGATTTGTTTTATGAAAAAATTTGTCATTAATGTCATTTATTTAAACATTTGTTAACAAATTTCTGAAATTTCTGTTAAAGTTTAATATATATTGTTTATAAAAATTACTGAAGTATATTATATCTATTGTTATTATTATTATTATTAATGTTCTGTTTATTTGAATAGATTTATTTAAAAAAAAAATGAGTTGTGCAAATATCTTTGTTTTTTATTTTTATTTTTTCAACACTTCCGTTTTATTGATTTCAAATTTGATTTTTATTTTTTCATACTTTCACTTTCAAGTTCCATTGATTTCAAATTTGATTTTTATTTGTTCATAATTCCGTTTGATACCACGTGACACGAGCAGTTGTTTCATTGTTTTAAATTGAAAACTCGTACGAAATTATTTACATACGCATAAACAAATTCAAATACTACATTTTTAATTCGTTTTTTGTTGCTATAATAATTTGGTTTAAAAATAAACAAATGTGTTGATAAATCACGATTGATCATGGTAGACCATTTTTTGTTGACGTAACTTTTTTTTTTGTTATTTAAATTGTAAAACAATTTTGTCCAATGAATTATTTAACTCTCGAAAAAAGTTCATTCCAACGATATACGATCGATTTATAATAAATAAATACATTTATTTTATAATAATAATAATAATAATTATTATTATTATTATTATTATTATTATTATATTCAAACCTAGGGAAATAAATAAATTAATTAATGAATAAATAAATTAATAAAAAAAAATAAATAATAATATATTTAATATCTCCATTATCGATTATCGTTATAACCATTCGATAAATCGATATATCGAAAGAGAAAAAAAATTAATTAAACAATAATTTATTTAAAATACTATCAATTGTTTAAACGTTACAACGATGTTTTCTCATCATTCATATAATGGATTCGTGAAAAAATTACTTTCAAGGACATCGATCGTGGAGTTGATTTATTTTTTATTTTATTTTATTATGTTTTTTACTTTTTTTTTTATTATTATTATTATTATTATTATTTTTACCTTTTTTGATCACCATCTTTTTCTTCCATCATCCAATTAACGTTCTTATTTCATACACACACATCCATACATACATACATACATACACACAGACATAATTCACATGTATCTAATTTAAAAACATAATTCGATTCACTCGCGATAAAAAAAAAAAGGGAAACAAGAAACTTTATGTAAAAATAAAATAATAAATAAAATAAATAAAAATTAGTGCAAATTGACATTTTCTATCTACGCAATAATAAAGTTACAAGTCAACCATTTTGTATGATAAATCATCATACGATCAATCTTAGTAAGCATAATCGATCGATTTATTCTATTAAGTCATTAAATATGAAATGTCTGATTTTGAGATGAAAATAATCCGAGTAATCAGACATTGTATAGTTAATAACTTAATAACAAGGCAAACAAACAGAAACAAACAACAGCAAAATTATGTTTGTTTCAAAAATGATTAGTAGTTTTGAATCGTTCGATTAATCGACAAAGAACAAAAAAAAAAAGAAAAACAAGATGTCTATTGGCATTAAAATATAATAGAATTATTGTCAGTACAACCTTGATCACGCTATAAACACAATATCATCTCAGCTTATTGCTAACAATACGATAAATAATTATCTTTTTGTATTATCTCATGCAAACCTTTTACACAAATCACTCTTAACTTCCACCTAACCTCACCTTTAATTACCACCCAAATATTCTGACAACGATTAAATACATTTATCACGTTCACAAGTATGGGTTATGAAAAAAAAAAAACAAAAAAAATTGATTTGTGTCAATCATTTTTCTCTTTTTTTGTTTTTTCTTTTTTTTTTTTTTTTTGGACACAAATTTGCACATATAGAATTATTGTTAACTTAAGATGTCAAATATAATATGATAAATAAATATATATATATATATATATATAAAATGAAAACTATAATAAATTAATAAAAGAAATAATTAATCAATCTACTCGAGCACCTAATATTTTTATTATATCTCGTCATATCAATGACGACAACAATAATAATAATAATAATTATAATAATGACGACGACGACGACGAAGAACTATGCCAAGTTTTCATTTAGTCAAAGCTTCATTTAAATAACCTTTTTTTTTTTTTTTTTTTATGTATAAATGCATTCGACAAAGCGAGTATCTCGTTTTTTCTAGTGTGTGTTTTAAATGAAACACACATGAGAGAAAAATAATAATAATAATTATTATTATTATTATTAATTAATAATTCAAATAGAAAGGAGACACATCGAATACACGCTTTACGAGTAGCAAAGCTTAGAAAATACGCACCGTTATATTATATATATATATATATATATATGTATATACAAGGTGTCTCATCAAAAATTGGTGATACAAACGACCGGGGGAATGATTTTCACATAAAAAAAAACAATTTCGAAAAATCGACTCAATTTTAGAGTTTCAGTTCAATGGATTCTCAATTTCTTACTTTTGAATATTTTTAAAAAATATTTTCTATGTTTTTTAATATTTTAACAACAAAAATTTTTAGTATGATGATACATTATTGTTTTATTGGTTATGTTTATTGTATGATGCTTTTAGTTTGCAAAGTTTCTACAAAATTACGTCAAAATTTACTGTATCTTAATTTAAGGTTATCTAGGTCTTTAAATACTATAAGTTTTCAATAGATGGCGTTATATTACAATTCAATTATTTCAGGTTTTTTTTCAGATTTACAGATATGACATAACTAACCTCACTTTTTATATTTTATTCGTGTATTATTATTATTTTGTGTGATGTTATAATTTACTAAATAATTTAAAATAATATTAAATCAACATTTTATGACAAAACCACAGGCATATAAACTTGCACGACTAAAATCATTCCACGTATCATTAATTTACAAGAGACACCCTGTATATATAATAAATATAAATGCTGGAGCATAAACGACGACAAGTGGCGTTGTTCCTAAAAAAAAAAAACAAAAACAAATGAATGAATGAATGAATGAAATGAAATGAAATGAAATGATTGCAATGTATTTCTGATTTTGTCATTCATTTGAGAAATCGATAATCCGATTTAGACGATCTTGATGTCAAACGACTGATCGCGAGTCAATTGAAAAAATCATCGTCATCGAAGGGATCTTCCTCACGTATGAAAATGTTAACCGATTCCGATTTTCTTATATACTGATCGGATGGTCTACCTTTGTTGTTACTGTTAGATGTAACATATTTGTTCTGTCTGGTATTTTTAAGGGACAATGTTGTGGTGCAACGTTCAGGTACGCTGTCCTCTAATTCCGATTTGAACGTAAAAGCATCCTCATCGTCGAACCTAAGATCACCGTTGAAAAAAGAATCACGCGTATTGTTACTAGCCTCGGTAACAAAACCATCTAACGATCTGTGAGTATCTTTGGTATCTGTTGAAATTTCTTCAGGTGTTGCTTTTAAATCTGACGATAATCTTCGTCTATCTGACGAAACATCGACACTGGGAGAGGAAACATTGGGGACAGACGGTGTTAAATCATCTTCAAACATGCTCGACCTTTTGTTATATTCATGTTGAATTTCTCTACGAGGTGGGGTAACATCTTTGCTAGATGATCGTGTTGTTGTTGTTGTTGTTGTTGTTGTCGTCGTTGCCGTCATAGTCGTTGCTGTTGTTATCGATGAAGGACTTAATGGTGGTCTATCGATTAATTCCCTTTTAGATTCTGTAACTTCCAAATGTACGACACGTGGTTCTGTAGGTGTCAATGATTCACCTGAAACAGGTGCCGCCGGTGATTCGATTTGTTCTATGCTTTGAGCAAAATCATCCTCGAAAGGACTTTGAGTTTTACTGACTTGTACTTGTTGACGACCACCTTTATGCCTTACAACACGTTTACGATGTAACGTTTCACTTTTACCATCCGGTCCCTCAGACCAATAAGGTCTTTCCGGCCAACTGTCGTACTCTTGATCGCTACCCCAATAAATTTCACGACTTCTCGATCTCTGCGATGGCCTTAAGTAAGGATCCGAATCATTGTCACTGCATTCTGATCTAGATGTACCAAATTTGTTTCTAGATTTAGTGTAAACCATCTCACCGTATTCCGTGTTACGTCCTTCGTTTGCACTGTTAGGCCTTTTTGGCCAATGTCTTTTCCTACCTGTCGTATTGTATCTACCTGATTCTTCAACAGCTCGATCAGGTCCATATTCCTCGTCCCATGTCCCAACATAATCGTGTGGTCTCTCCCTACTCCCATGATAATAATAATAACTTTCTTTGGATGGGTATTCACCGTCAGGTGGACTACTACGTCTACTCCAAAATCTACCACCAAATTCCTCGTCCCATTGTCTTCTTTGATACTTACGTCTGCTGCTCCATCTGTCGTCGTCATCGTAACCAACACTCTCCTCGCTACCAAATCTATCCTCTTCATTGTAGAATAATGTTAATTTTCTCTCAGTATTTCTTTCACGTTCCTCATTGTAAAAGGATGCAGCATCATCCTGTATCCAATTCCATCGTTGTGATTTCGCTCGACATTTCCAAAATCTCGACATGTGGTCACGTGGATCGTAATGATCGTCAGTATCCTTGCAAATTAATTTACGATGGTAACAAATTCTTGGTCCTTCCTCCCACTGTTGAGTATTTTCATGCCAACATTGAGATGGTTCTCTTGGTCTATAACCAACATTTTTAGCCCATGGGCCACGTGATTTCCTGACAGCTCTACCCCGAAAACTACGATCCCTTTTATCCGATCTATTTTCAACAGGTCCCGTAGCTTCCTCGTAAAACGATCTTTCATCGAATTCAGCTGCATCGAATCTTGGATGTCTGCCGAACCAAAATCTTCCATCAATTCGTCCTCTGCCATTGCTTTCTTCACTTTCTTCTTCATCCTTCCATTCATTGTCGCTATCCCCAGAATGTCTGTGAGCACTGGTAGATGATACGGGTTTGAAAGGTGGAATATCCCGATGAAAATCTTTACCATCCGGTGACCATGGTGACGTACCACCTACCGAACGTGTACCTTCGCAAGATGACCTATCCGAACCGATCATACTCGTTTCGAATTTAGCCCAATTACCGTCTTCCTTGTTAACATCTTCACGATTGTCTTTATTATCATCGGTAAATGGACAAAATACATCTTCGAATCCACTGGTAGTAGTAGTAGCAGTTACTTTGACATCTTTAGCTACATGTGTCGCTGTTCCCGTATTCAACATTTTGATTTCTTCAAAGATATCCATCGCAACTGTTTTCAAATCGTCGTCCTTTTTCTTAACTGATTTTTTAGGACTCGTGGGTACAGTTGTTGCTGGTAAATTATCCGAAAACAAACTTAACAATTCGGATTCTGCTAATGATGATGCATGCATTTGTTTGTTCCTTCTTTCCGTTTCAACAAAGATTTCTCTTAATGCAGCGTATCTATCGTTGGAAGTTGAAGTTGAATATCTTTCTTCAGTTTTATCAGTCACGGATGATCTACCAGTTTCATCTGCATTATCAACTATTACTTTATCCGAAATACCATTAACTTCACTACCCTTATCCGATAATGTTTCAGATTTATCTTGACTACCACCTACTACCATAATCGTATCATCAATCATATCATCCTCGATATCAACTTCGATATCCGCTTCAGTTTCTAATTCTACTTCTAAATCTATCTTTCTATTTGACTGTAAGTTCATCGATGATACTTCAATACCATTATCTTTGATCTCATCGATCTCTTCCATTGGTTCTATCGGTTTATCATTTTCAATTTCGTTGGTTTCCTCGATTTCTTCATCCCCAGTTTCTTCTTTAATCAATTCATCGTTACTCGGTGGTAATTTAACTGTCAAATTGACCATAGCTACGATTGCTTCAGCTAAGATTTCATTTTGATTTTTATCATCGGATTCTTTAGGTTCCTCGCATGGTTCTTTAGGTTCCGTATCCGTCATAATAATTTCCTCATCGTTTCTTTCCTCTTTTGATTCTTCTAACATTTGTTCCATTTCAAGTAATTCACGAAAAACTGCATACTTGTCGTATGTCGGTTCCTGTTCCTTCTTCATCGGTTCCTGATCGAAGTTAGCTTTGAAAAGTGGCTCCCCACTGACAAAACTGGTTTCAGCAATTTTACAGGTACTCGATTGTTTGTTCAACGGTAATGGTTCCGTTTTCGGTTGAACCGGTTTTTCCTCTTTGGTTTCTATCGTTGATGATTCCTTGCTCGAAAGATTAGCCAAACATTCGGTAAGTTGTTGTAACGTTAAACTTGTTAATTCTTGTACTGTCATACCAAGGCTACTCGCTAATTCAACTAAATTCGCGGAAGTTAATTGACTTAGTGTTATGTCCAACGAAGGTTTAGGTTTTTTCGTTGTGACGGCGGGTGTACCGGTTGAAGTAAAGAACGTTGACAAATTCGTGGTGGGTATCATCGAACTAAAGGAATCTTCAAAAGCAGATGTCGTCATGGTAGAAATCAAATCAGTTCTCGTATTAGATATTTGCGATGGTGGTGGACTAAAATTATCATCAAATTGACTTTTGTTATCTCTCGAAGGACTTTTCTTCCTTTCTTTGATTCTGGTAGGTGAAGGAGATGATTCCTCGCGTTCGACAATGAAATCATAATGAAAATGACCATCGGTAGTGGTATAGGGTGGTCTAGGTGGGGGTTTGATAGCACCTCTAGCAGTTTGTTTCTTTGGTGGCAAGGGTGGTGGATTAATCATGATACTACCAACACCTCTTGGTGGGGGTTCAGGAACGAGGTCTAATTCAGCACTAGAACTGGATAATCTAGAATTTGCGTCTGAGGAACATGATCTCAATGGTGATGCTGGTGATTCGCTGGTGGTAGTCGAAAAATCGACTGGGAATGATGATTTTTCAATGGATTGTGATTTATTACCACTTAATTCTATATCAAATTCTCTTTTTCTAACCGATTGTAAATATTTCTTTGGGCTCGGTAATTTGACCAACGTTTGAATCGATTCGTTAGAATCTTTGTCTAATTTACTAGCAACAACAACGCTTGTTGAGACTCCACCAACGTTAGTTGGATTTACGGAAGATACTACAATCCCCCCAGAAAACGTACTCTTATTAGGCGTATCTTCGGGCGGTAAGGACACTGACAATGGTTGTTGATGATGAGTTGTCGGCCTTGATAGAATATCTTTCTTTTGGGGGGAGTCAGCCTTCGGTAGTATGGACGACTGCATTGCCTCGTTCTCATCAAACCGATCGAAATTCGCGAAATTGCCCTCTTCGTGGCGATCACCTTCCTTCAAAGGTAAATCATTCTGTAATTTTATAGAGTCCGAAGTATCCGACCTTAGATTGAAATTCGTTGGAAACGTATCCGTCGAATTGGTCTTTACTAAATCTTTAAGCACCTTTTTTGGAGGATTTTTCAGATGTTGGAAGAAGTCTTTCTTATCGACGTATGGCTTTATCAGACCAGTACCTAGGGGATCCAGTTCCGTGAAAACATCTATCTGGGGACTTTTCGCTTGGCTACTTCTCGGTGTTGTGTTCAACGATGTCTGCAAAAATGATTTTCAAATATTTCAAAAACACATATCTGTTATCTCGTATCTTATAATAATATTTCATCGTCATGATAATATTTTGTTTCATTGTCAAATGAGATTACTCACTTCTTCTTGTTCTTTTTTCCCTGGTGTAGTACTTTTCGTCAAGCTAGTTAATTCACCATCGTTGAAAAGGTTTTCCGTTTCTTTGTCGAACCAATGAATCGTATCTTGAGGAGGTGGTGTTTTGCTGTACAAAGTTGTGGCAGGGCTAGATGTTGCAGATGTTGTTGGGGCTGGAACGGTTTGTTGTCTTTCCAAATGACCTCTTTTTGACGATGATGGTGGGGGTGGTAAAATTGGTTGTACGGTATCCTTTAACTGTTTCAAATCATTCAAACATTTTGTTTGTACAAACTTATCGCAACAACAACAACAACAACAATAATAAAATATAAATTACGTACTTTCATGTTAGCAAAAGAATCACCAAATGGGTCACTTTCGAATAGATCATCAGCTGTTGGTCCTGGTTGTTCCGGGGTTATTTTATCCATCTGATGTATTCCCTGTTGCAGCGAGTTCAATTCGAATTGTAGATCCAACAAATCAGCAATGTCGCCACTTTGATTTTCAGCTTTCCTCTCGTTACTTTTCTCCGTCTCGGAATTAGTAATTCGTGTTCGATGAAGTGACGATGATTCTGTTCCTGCTGCACCCTGTGACCACAAAATGTTCATTTCTTTTGTTTTATTGATAAACTACAATTAAAATTAACGAAAACCACAACTATCACACCCTATGATTATGAAGATAAAATGGGGATGAACATTTCAACTTACTTTGGTATCCGGTGCTGGTTCAACGAACATACCAGTTGGATGAAACTTGATGGCATTGATAGCATTCTGTTCGATCTGTTGTTTGGCTAATTCGATTTCCTTTTTCTTCAGTTCGAATACAACTTGAAAAAGATCTCTCATGGCAACAACCACCTGAAAAAGTAAACTACAATTGTCTCTTTCTATTTATTTCTTACTTCCTCACATATTTTACAAGCATGCAACAAATCAAAGATACCCGGATTAACAAAAAGTCAAATGATCAATCAAATCCATTATAATAAATTCATTCCTCTCTTTTGTGGCACTTAATTGATCATTTATTTTATTTCCACCACCTTCCTTTTTCCTTTTATTCTTATTTACCTCTTCAGTAAACCACCCCTCTTAAATGTAGCAATGAATCAAACGCGAGGATATATACTTACGAGAGATAAAGAGGATTATAGGAATCGTTTACTACTACGTAGACCAAAAGCAGAAATTAAACTTGGAAATTGAAGTAAGAGAACGATGCTGTTGAATTAATTCACCAGATGTCACTCTTAACAGAAGTTATCAACTCTCTTCTGTTTCATTAAATTATTCCAATATGGGTGTTATTGAATTGTAACTTGCCATGTTTCTATTAAAACGAGTATATCTTTCTCTTTCTATGTGTTATACACATACTACTATATCTTACATATACATTTACATATATTTCTTCTAAGTGAACAATTGTATACATTCAATTGTATGAATCATGATAATATATAATTTGTGATTGATTGTGAATGATTGCAAAGGTTTACACAATCATTTGTTGATTTTTGTGTAACAATTGATTTTTAAACAATCTGTTTTAATTATATTAAATATTAGTAAATATATAATTATGTTTTTTGGAATTTCAGCATGCTTATAATACACTTGTACAATTTATAGACCCAATTTAAAATAACATTCCAAATAAGCTTTTTATATCCTAGGATATCTTTGTTAACTTTTATTAAAAGTATAGAATTTGTTTCATATATAAATCCACCTAAGTTACTCTAACAACCCATTATAAAATTATTTATAAATTTTAATATAAAAAGCAAACTTTCCACCAAGATTTCTGATGACATATTTAAATTGGGTACATATAAATGGTCTAAGTGTTATACATAAGTCTCACGTGATCATTTCCAAGTGTTACAATTGGTTGTTCACT